TGAAACATTAATCGGTTACCATGCTGATTGTGGTATCCAACTCAATATTATTTGATAAAGCATTAACCGGATACCACATCACTTGTCACATCAGCATGGTAATCGATTAATGCTTCAATCRGTTATTCGGATACTTTAATGTTGAAAACTTTACATATTAGGTACCAAAATGAAAGTTCGTTACCCAAAATAGGAATCTAGTTAAAGTACCAAAATAGGAATCTAGGTACTTAAATGTTTCAAACTTTACATTTTATATACCAAAATAAAAGCTTTGAAAGTACATTACCCAAAATAGGAATCAAGTTAAAATACGTTATTTTTTCATGTAATTTATCATTTATTTATTTTTTTAACACTATAATTAGTTTAACTAATTCTATCATAACTTATTGTTTTACAAAGATAAAATTTGTTAYGTTGACCAAGATCGTCGTAAGAATTTACTGTAACATATTTGTATAAAAGAGACGGTTACCATTTCTACAAGCTTTAAAACTCCAGTAAATAWTGTTTTAGGATGATAGTTGACGTTCTAATAATCCATTATGTTGTAATAATAACGCTAATCTACGCGTTTTTAGTGGATATACACAAACGRAGTCACTTCAAATAAGAATGTTAAATTTCATGAATTACTGATAAGATTCGAAAAAGTTTATTTGAAGATGCATATATGAACAGACGTTACATATTATTCATATGGGTTTACRTATGCATATTTAAATGGATTTCTTCAAATGAATCACATATGAATTACAACATTCYTTATTATTATTTTTATTAACTTGGATATCCAACCCGCTATGTGAGTCGACTAATCCCATGACAGCCACCTGCTTTACGGGTAGCCCGAAGTCATCGCATTTTAACCTCCATGGCCACAAGGGGATTTTTATTTCTCTTTGGATTTGAACCCGACACCTCCTGAAACCAATCAAACATCACATTTGTGGTTCCTTAATCATTTTTTATTATTTTCTCACAATAATTAGTCTACTTATTTAAATCTATTGCAATTAATACAATAAATTCAAGAAATTAATTTTTATTTTTATTTAAATAAATTTATTTCATTTTAATTTAATTTAATTAAAAAATAAATATTTTAAACACTTCTCTCAAATCAATCCAATACTTTGATATTGAAATGACCATAAAAAGGTATTTTATATGCTTGCAATCAAATCAATTATTTTCTTGTTATTAATGTCTCCATTTTCAATAATATTTTTATATTAATAAAATTCCTATTTAAAGGTGTGAGGGCAAGTCTTGAAAGGAATCAATTTTTAGTATGTAAAGAATTAGTACCAAAAGCATAAAATCATGAGTATTAGTCCCAAATCCCATCTTTAGACTTTTGATTTCATTTTATAAGCATTCTTTTTAGGATGTTTTTATGGTTATAAACAGTGTTTTTACTTTTAGAAAATTACCTGAATMTRACGAAGTYAATACGTCTAATAAATTAGGGTCTRGGGAGGGTAAAACAKATACAAATCRTTCCTCTGCGCAGATGGGTAAAGTATGTTTATGTGAAGTTTTCCGTTTGGTGAAGAAATTGAAATGTCAACTACCCTCGTTGAAGTTCTAAATCGAATGTTTGTGGTATTTCATTGAAATCGTTGTGCATCCAATCTGTCTCTCACATGATACTTTTGGAGTGGAACAGTGTCCAACAGCTCGAAGGTTGCCAATTATAAACCCTATATACCAAAATTAAAAATTGCACCTAAAAGAATGGATTATGGAGYAAGATGATGATGCCACCAACTACATAAGTTATGGCCAATACATCAAAGTCTCAACATCATTATCAAATCATGAGAGTATCTCATCACCCTACTAATTGGTCTCAACTTTTAGAGGGATGTTGTTTTCAACAGGTAAGCTTGAGCTTGAATCAAGGGATTAGGAAATGG